TGCGACTTATTGAGAACTGATGCGTGGTAACCTCACGTGTATCATATTTAGTTGACTCAACTCAGTGACGTTCTCTGTGATCTTACATACGACGTTATCTAAGATCTTAAAATACGTCATTTTTTTCATCTTACATACGACATTCTCTGTGATCTTACGTACGACGTTCTCTATGATCTTAAAATACGCCGTTCTCTGTGATCTTACATACGACATTCTATGTGATCTTACATACGACATTCTCTGTGATCTTACATACGACATTCTATATGATCTTAAAATACGTCATTCTCTGTCATCTTACATACGACATTCTCTGTGATCTTACGTACGACGTTCTCTATGATCTTAAAATATGCCATTCTCTGTGATCTTTGATACGACATTCTCTGTGATCTTACATACGACTATTCTCTGTGATCTTACATACGACTATTATCTGTGATCTTACATACGACTATTCTCTGTGATCTTACATACGACTATTCTCTGTGATCCTCCTAAAGAGTTTTTTTTTTTTACCTAAACCTTTAGTGCAAAGGTGATCATCCCAAAAGTCTTCGTGGGCCGCTTCGAAAGCGAGTAGAGTAAACCATTCCTTGGCCACTTTGAAAGCGAGTAAACCATTGGTGGGCCACTTTAAAAGCGAGTAAACCATTCATTGGCCACTTTGAAAGCGAGTAAACCATTCCTTGGCCACTTTGAAAGCGAGTAAACCATTGGTGGGCCACTTTAAAAGCGAGTAAACCATTCATTGGCCACTTTGAAAGCGAGTAAACCATTCGTTGGCCACTTTGAAAGCGAGTAAACCATTCGTGGGCCACTTCGAAAGCAAGTAAATCATTGGTGGGTCACTTTGAAAGCAAGTAAACCATTCATTGGCCACTTTGAAAGCAAGTAAACCATTCATTGGCCACTTTGAAAGCGAGTAAACCATTCGTTGGCCGCTTTGAAAGCGAGTAAATCATTCGTTGGCCACTTTGAAAGCGAGTAAACCATTCGTGGGCCACTTCGAAAGCAAGTAAATCATTGGTGGGTCACTTTGAAAGCAAGTAAACCATTCATTGGCCACTTTAAAAGCGAGTAAACCATTCATTGGCCACTTTGAAAGCGAGTAAACCATTCGTTGGCCACTTTGAAAGCGAGTAAACCATTCGTGGGCCACTTCGAAAGCAAGTAAATCATTGGTGGGTCACTTTGAAAGCAAGTAAACCATTCATTGGCCACTTTGAAAGCAAGTAAACCATTCATTGGCCACTTTGAAAGCGAGTAAACCATTCGTGGGCCACTTCGAAAGCAAGTAAATCATTGGTGGGTCACTTTGAAAGCAAGTAAACCATTCATTGGCCACTTTGAAAGCAAGTAAACAATTCGTTGGCCGCTTTGAAAGCGAGTAAACCATTCGTTGGCCGCTTTGAAAGCGAGTAAACAATTCGTTGGCCGCTTTGAAAGCGAGTAAACCATTCGTTGGACGCTTTGAAAGCGAGTAAACAATTCATTGGCCACTTTGAAAGCGAGTAAACAATTCATTGGCCACTTTGAAAGCGAGTAAACCATTCGTTGGACGCTTTGAAAGCGAGTAAACAATTCGTTGGACGCTTTGAAAGCGAGTAAACAATTCGTTGGACGCTTTGAAAGCGAGTAAACCATTCGTTGGACGCTTTGAAAGCGAGTAAACAATTCGTTGGACGCTTTGAAAGCGAGTAAACCATTCGTTGGACGCTTTGAAAGCGAGTAAACAATTCATTGGCCACTTTGAAAGCGAGTAAACAATTCATTGGCCACTTTGAAAGCGAGTAAACCATTCGTTGGCCGCTTTGAAAGCGAGTAAACCATTCATTGGCCACTTTGAAAGCGAGTAAACCATTCATTGGCCACTTTGAAAGCGAGTAAACCATTCGTTGGACGCTTTGAAAGCGAGTAAACCATTCGTGGGCCACTTCGAAAGCAAGTAAATCATTGGTGGGTCACTTTGAAAGCAAGTAAACCATTCATTGGCCACTTTGAAAGCGAGTAAACCATTCGTTGGACGCTTTGAAAGCGAGTAAACAATTCGTTGTTTGCTTTGAAAGCGAGTAAACCATTCGTGGGCCGCTTTGAAAGCAAGTAAACCATTCGTTGGCCACTTTAAAAGCGAGTAAACCATCCGTTGGCCACTTTGAAAGCAAGTAAACCATTCGTTGTATAACATTGTTAACTTACTCTTTATGCACATGATAAAAAGCAAAATAAGAAGACAGAATAAAAGTAAACTAGCGTTGTAAATATCCTTTCTCTCTGTTATCTTTTAATATATCGATGTGCTTGTCGACTGAACGAAGAACGAATAAGTTGATTGCGATGCATCAGGCATCTGCGGGACCGCACTATTTGACGTAGCGGGCCGCATGCTCCTTAATATTTCATTCACACGGCTCGAGCGCATGTTTCTGTTTTTTTTTGTTGTCCCGTTGATATACATCAACAAATCTCGCCGTATTGTGGTCGTTTAATGTCAGTTCAACTACTCCGAGTGGAAGGTCTGTATTTTATTGCTTCAGGTGGCCAAGCTAAATCCCTGACTATCGATATTTTTCACTGATTGATCACTTCGCATCCGCCACAGTTGACATCATCGCCGCTTAATCGAACCTTTTTTTTAAATGTTTGATGAGTTGCGAGTCTTCGTTGGATAACTCATGCAGATAAATATAGACCATTGCGTATTGACTATACTATTATTACTAGTGCTTCAGCGAGTGACACATGTCAAGACATAAAAAGAAAATGAGTCTGGAGCCCACTTAAGAATTTAGCGCAGTCCTGTCATTACCGGTGTACGTACCGATCACTTAAACTGTTTAAAAAAAAATACGTTTTGATTTTATCATTGACACCAACTCAGGAAATCTGTTGAGCACTTCATAATTTTATCGCATAGACAAAGATATCCTCGTGTGTCATGTGGCTGAGTGTTTCCATGACCGCCCACGATTACACTTCAGCATTGTTTTTGATATCAATAAATACACCTTTTTTAACTTCAATTACATGAAAATGTCACGTGAGCACGGGGGTTGGGGGGGGGGAGTTCCCCGGTGGAAAGTTAGGTCATGCAATCGTCTCTAACCTAATTATAATACTTTCTTTGTTAGTATTTTAACAATTAGTTGCCCTGCTTAACATAAATTATCATAACGAGTCTTTGGAAAGAGCATAGAAATGAACACGTTGGCCTTTCTTTATTACTCACAGTTGAAACTTGGGTGATACGCCAGATCCTAACCAGATGTTCTATTCAGTTCTCATCGGCGGCAATAGGTATACCTTAAGCTGTCGGCAATAGTTACACGCGGCATTGCCAGCTAAAGTTACACATGAAACTGACAGCTTAAGTTACGCGTTACCTTGCCAGCTAAAGTTACGCGTGACATTGTCAGTTAAAGTTACGCGTTACATAGCCAGCTAAAGTTACGCTTGACATTGCCAGCTAAATTTAGGCTTGATATTGCCAGTTAAAGTTACGCTTTACATTGCCAGCTTAAGTTGCACGTTACATTGTTAGCTAAAGTTGCACGTGAAACTACCAGCTAAATTTACCGCCAGCTTAAGTTACGCGTGACATTGCCAGCTAAAGTTACGCGTGACATTGCCAGCTAAAGTTACGCCTGACATTGCCAGCTAAATTTACGCGTGATATTGCCAGCTAAAGTTACTCGTTAAACTGCCAGCAATAGTTACACGTTACATTTCCAGCAGTAGTCATACGCTACACACCACCAGTATGTATAATTACTTCAAATAACTAGTAATGATCTCATAGCCATCATTTTTTTAAATTCTCACTTGGTTTAGACCGGTGGTCGTCAAATCGTGGATCGCGAACCGCATGCGGCTCTATAATGACCTGAGTGCAGCTCGGCCAGTCGACAACAAATCAGTTTTGACTCCCCCCAAAAAAAAACCAACGAAAAACCGTCCCTTTTGGCAGGTTCTTGAAAAGAAATTTGGCTCTCAAAATTTTTTAATCGTCCTGCTGCTGATTTTTGGCTCTTTTGACTAATGAGTCTGCCGACCACTGGTTCAGACAGGTACACATATACGGGTACACATATACGGGTACACATATACAGGTACACATATACAGAACATACATTCAGCACGGTCAAAATTTATATTTGAAAAATATTTCTTACAGAAATTAAAAGATACATTCCTTAGAAATTTTTTATAAAACCTTAGTACTCAGATTTGACTCACCACTCAAATACACATACATATATATATATATATATATATATATATATATATATATATATATATATATATAATTTTATCAATCTGTATGTTTGAAAAATTTTTGAGAGGAATGAGTATTTTATCAATCTGTAGGTTTGAAAAATTGTTGAGAGGAATGAGAGGAATTTGTTTTTAGAACTAATATTTAACTGCTATAAACTTTGTAAGATAGATATATGCAAATTAATATATGTGGAGTGAATAGAAAGACACTTTGAGACAAATAACTATAAAACTGAGAGAAAGAATAGTTCATTTTAAGAATAATTATTAATTAAAAAAAAAAGTTAAGTATCTTTAGCAGAAAAGTAGTTTTTTCTTTGAATAAGGTAATGCGTCCTGAAATAGAGAGGTTCAATGGAAAGCATGCCTTGTCCCAAAACTATTATTTCAAAGTTACATTAATAAAAGCATTTTAGCAGAATTCTACTTTCATATTGCACTCCCTAGTAACTGTTTCCTTATGCAATACAGAAACATATTAAGCAAATCAAGTTTTCTTTAGCTATGTAAATAGACATTCACCCTGACCTCGTCATTTAATTTTTCAACAGTAAGAAGAAACTTGTACTTGCAGCGCATGAGCCAGTAACACAATGCCCTCGGCAATGAACGACACGGGCATCCAAAAGATAACTCTTCCTGACTTTACCTCATTGGAAACGTCACACCTGTTCACCTTTGTTAACGGTGAAATCCTTCAACCACCGATATTTGCCCTGGGCGTCATTGCCAATTTCATCAACATCATCGTCTATTTAAAACTTGGACTAAAAGACAGCATTAGCATCTGCTTCTTTGTGCTGTCGTGCACGGACCTGGCGTGTGTGCTGTTGCATGTATTTGCCAACGCCCCGACGAGTTTATCAGGACATTTTCTGGAACGATGGAACACCGACGGCGGAAAGGTATCATTCGTCATAGCCGCTTACTACGGCCCCTTCTACGACATCTCGCAAGGGATCACTACGTTTATCGCCGTCCAGAAATGCTGGTGTGTCGCGCTGCCTTGCTTCAAAAACACGTTTACAAGGACGCGTACGGTTTGTATCGTATCTTGTATTTCGTTGGCGCTGTTCTCTTTGCACATGCCGATTCTGACAACCCAAGGTTTGGCGGGAATGTTCGACCCGGTCAGGAATAGAACAATACAGCAGTTATGGATGCTCGAAATTAGTGGGAAGCTGTACTCTGCCGTAGGTCTCATATCTTTAGTGTTTACCAACACCTGTCAAATGATTGTCATTTTCTGTCTGATTGTTCTCGCTTCAAGCTTACGAGCGTCATCAAAGTTCAGGAGGGCGACTAAAATAGCCAGCACCGACCAGATGTCTTCAGAGATTAAAACTCCGAAAACGAAAATCACTGATATGCATTTGAAAAAAATATTTGACGTCCGACCTGATTAACTCTACAAAACGACCTACAGATTTCAACACGTTAAAATTACTTAATTACTACGTCATCCTCTGCCTTTCAGATTACAGTATTTTCGGTCGTTATGGCAGAACCTATCTGGCGACAAATGAAATAAGGTTCTCGCTGGAAATTCTACACTGTTCCTTAAACATGTTCGTCTACCTGAAGTTCAACACACGTTACAGGTCAACGCTGTTGGCCTGCTGTGGGCGCAGCCGTTGAACATTGTCAAGTCAGCGTTCGTCAGTTCCTGTTCATTAATGGTTTTGTTTTACTTAAGCTTTTTAAAAAAAATCATCTTTTTTATCCCTTGAATATTCATTGTAAATGTTACCATCTAAGAGGTAATGATAAGATCATGGACTGGGCCCAATAAATTCCACTTGAGACATTTTCACAGTCAATAAAATAACCCTTATCTACACCTCACCAGTGTGTCTCTTAAACCTCCATGTGTCTGTTTTTTGGGACCCATTGAGCCTTGACCGGTCCTGTGCATTGTGTAAAAGTGGCGCAAATGGACATGGAAACATGTGCTAATCAGTTTATCAATCTAATGTTGCGTTATCCGGTGAAGGCACTGATATATTAGCCAGCCTTTGAAAGATAAGAAAGATAATTAATTTATCGTTTGAACAAACAAACCAAACTGGTTTCAATAAAGTTTTTTAAAGGCGTTTAAGAAAGCCATCTTACTTCATATCATTACTGATTAAGTAACGGACCTATTCTGGTGGATGCTTTAGCTCACGCTCTTGAAGTCCCGGCTCGTACCTTATCAACCAGCTCCATCTGTTGTGCTGTGCCATAAAACATCTTCGTAACGTAGGATTCCTCTTCTTCTTCACTATATTTGGGTCCACGATCAGTGTATTGAATCATTCTGACTCCTTTGTATCTAGAGGGGATTTGCAATGTTTCTATGCCTGGTGTTAAAGAGGATATTTCACGGTCGCAAGGGCTACTCACCAAGGTATCAGGAACTGGGGTTTGGAAGGAAGCCTTTGGAAGGAACAGTCTCAACTGTTCGATTTGGACAGCAGCCAGTCTGTTTCTCTTTGCATTTGAAGTCTTGTAACATTCATCATCAAACAAAAATGTGTAATGGCTATTTTCTTTTGGGAGAAACTCAAGAGTTTGTCGGAAATCTGATGGAAGCAACGTAACTTTTTTTAAAAAAAAGCAAACATTCTATTCACTACACAAAATAAATTATAATAACAAAAATGAAAACTATTTTTTCCCCCCATTTTTTTCCATGTTTATCGTTGAAAGTTCAACTAATTAAATAATAATAATAAAAAAGTTAATTTGAAAATCACGCTTCATCTCCAAGGGCTCGAAGCGTGGTTCAAAGTCAACCACATTAAAAGAGAAATGAAATAATCTACATTTTTCCACATTGAAATACAAAACGCTGCATTAAAAAAAGCTATATATGAACATGCCCAATCTAAGTCTTTCATCTATTGCAACCATAAACAATAGAAAACAGTATACATCTAGGAGATACTAGCTAGATGGAAAAGATGGTAGACAACATAACCCGAGGAGGTATTTGCGAAATAGATGTGTTGTCAAATCGATTTTGAAGGACTGCAGTGTCTGGCTGTTTCTGAGATCGACAGAAAGGGTGTTCCAAATTGTTGGGCCAGCAAATGCGAAAGTGCGCCTTCCGTAAGTCTCACGTTTCGAGAGTTTGCCACTATCGGATGAGCGGAGTTGTCTAGTGGGTACATAAGGCGTCATGAGCGCTTCGAGATAGGACGGCGCCAGGGCATGCAAGAAGCGGTAGCACAGAGTTGCAATTTTTTACTCTATGTGAGCGTGGACCGGCATCCAATGAAACTCTCTCAGAGTGTCTTAAAACCAACATTCGCTTGAAAGTCACAAATTAAGTAGAGCAAAAACCGTTAATCTCTTGAAAGTCCCAATGTAAGTAGACACGGAATCAAAGATGTCTTAAAGGTCAAAATTCATCCTATATCATTTACTACATTTTTTTTTGGCGAAATTTGACGTTGTCCACGCTAAAACCCTAAGTCAATTTTTAACCAATTTAAATACTGAATGTCATCTTAATATAAAGTCTTTGTATGTTGTGGGATTTTAAATACTCGAAAACCGACAAGAGATATTTCTACTTGTTAACATAACCGCAGCGAGTAGCAGACTATAATCTGTCAGATATCCAAGACACCGTAGAAGTTATCAGTATCAGTATGTCCTCATACTTCAATTAATTCTATCTGGGCCATTCACAGTGAAGCAAGAATATAAGATTGTTAAAACCAGTGTTTCCTCCAGGCTTTTCCATGGATGTGGTGGGGGAGAGCGCCCTGCCCCCAGAAAATGAACTTCCACAACATCGGATTTATCTTTACTGAGAATAAAAGCAGATGTGGTATGGAAAAGCTACAATATCATTAAAAAAAAAACCCTCAAATACAGTGACCTTTACATGTTTCAGCTAAGAGTATTAAGGGCGATTTTCAACGCTTTATTAATAGTGTAAACTAAAAATAAAAGTATATCGCTACGCCCGATATACTATTTGTCGATCGGAAGATAAATATATTGTTGGATTCTAAACTAATAATATCTGCTCCTGGGACAATATATTTTTTTATAGAATTATCCATCAAACTATCCATTAATCCACATACATATAAAGTCACTATGTTTTAAGCTGTGAGCATTTTCTTCCGTCTTGAAGTGTTTTTGCTGACTAAGGCTTTTGGTCGAAACGTTCCCTTTCGGTCATTGCCACTTTTTTATCCCCCCCCCCACTTTAATTTTTGTTTGGGGTGGGGCAGGGTCATCATTTAGGTAGGGAAGGGTGGGGATCCCCCCCACCCCCCCGCCGGATTTGCATTTTTAAAATTAAAATTACTATAATGTAAATTCTCCAGCAATAAACAACTTCACAAGACGACAAAGTTTTGGTTCCTTTCCCCTTAAAAAAACCTGAAATAACGCCCCTGGGAGGGGGTGGTTCCTCTAACCTTTGTATATTTAAAAAAAATTGAACTGCATGGTTCCCCAAATGGGCTAGTAATAGCCATTAAACAATTATTAAATACAATTTTTGCTAATATGATCAAGTATGGGTGAGGAAAAAATAAGAAAAGAACATTTTCATGCGAAATTGCTTTTCGTTCTATACTTGTAAAACATACAAAAAAGTGGTAAAAAAAAACAACCAACCAAAATCAAAATGTGTTATGGCATTTACTTATGATACACAAAGAGATAAGACATAATACAAATTGAATTGTGACACACAATGAGATAAGACGCAATACAAATTGAATTATGACGCACAATGAGATGAGACACAATACAAACTGAACTTAAAGCGGCAAAGGCAGTTTGGCAGACGAACGTAGCCGCTCCCGCAGCTGGACACAACCGTTGACCCGGACCATGTGTTGAACTTCAAGCAGACGAACCCGCTGCACGTGATGGGTACAGACTCAAAGAAAATGGTGTAAGAACTGGACACAAAATAGGTGTTTCGAAAACGACCGTCAAGGCTGTACTGAGGGATGCACACAATGACGGAGAAGTTCAGCGACTGGAACGTGTTGCACGTGACAAACAGGATGGACACAAACTTGGTGGACCTTATGGCCTGCAGCTCTGTTCGAAACGTTGGCTTAAGGTGTCGAGGAAACGCGCGGGGCCTAATGTCTTTACGACCAGACATAGATACGCCATCCCCTTGATTCTCGGCTACATCATAAAGACAACTTGCCGAATTCTCCTTGGAGATCACTTTGTGCGGCTTCAAATATTTGTTCAAGCATTTGTCGCTGGCCGTCGTGACGTCACTGGATTTAGTTTCGTCGGTTTTAAGTTTAGTGGTTGTCGGTGGATCCATATCCACGTTGGGGATAGCCGATGAATCCATTAAATTTGTTGAGGCTCGTAACCTTGAAGCCAAAACAATCAAGCAGAAGATGACAATGACTTGACATGTGCTGGTGAATAGTAAAGACACGAGCCTTACGCCAGGGAACAGCTGTTGTCTGATTTCAGCTGTCCATACTAAAAGAAGAGGTCTACTGGTGTCCGCGGACATGGATTCCTGCAGATCTGGCCTTGACCGAATCGGCACATGCAGAGAGAAGATCGCAATTGAAATTCCAGACAAGATACCATATGTTATGGATGCGATAAACGGGTTTCTAGAGCGAAAAGGTAGCGCAACACTCCAGCCTTTTTGGACTGCGGTAAAGGTAGTTATTCCTTGTGAGATGTAAAATGACCCATGATAAAAAACAAAAAGAAATGACAGATCTTTGTCCTCAATGTCCCATAGTTTTTCAAAATTATTTGTAAACACGTGAAAGATTTCCCCGAGTATCAACATCAACACACTCGCCAAGTCTGCACACGAGAGGACGAAGAAACAAATGTTGATGCAGTCTTTGGGTCTAATTTTGAAATACACGAAGATGTTGATGAGATTGGCGACAAAACCGAGTAAATATATCGGCGGTTGAATGATTGCACTGAAGATGAAGATTTTACGTGAGCTCGTTTCCACTGAGGTGAAGTCGCGAAGAGTTATCGCTGGGACATCCGTGGCGTTCATGGTTTGCTTCAAGTCTTTGATTTATCAGTGTCTCTTACATCACATATCAGCTTACAATGCGCAATGAAATCAGGTTTTCTCATAGTTTAAGTGCAATTGGTAGAGACAACGAAAAATGACATAGGCTCTGTCGTCATTTACTTCTGAAATGAAATGTTAGACGAAAATAGCGTAATCGCTATGGGAAAAGATCAACACACAAAGTATATTTATAGGTTCATTGAGTTTTATGCCTGTTCCTTTATTTTACCTCGTTACGATATGGGCTTGAATTTATAACATTTTATTACGCCCAATTTAAGACCTTTAAACAAAATCTCTCCCACCCATAGTCACAATGATAAAAAAAAGGGCAGACTACGCTGGGCAGGACATGTTGAAAGGATGCCGGAATGCAGAGCGTTCAAAGTTATATACAGGAAGAAGCCCAGGGGCAGACGACTCACCGGTCGCCCAAGGCTGAAATGGATCGATGATGTGAAGATGGATATACATCAGTTGGGGGTTCGTGCATGGAGGCGGAAAGCCATGGATTGCTCCGGATGGAAGGATGTGGTGGAGCAGGCCAAGGCCTTACATGGGCTCTAGCGTCACTGATGAGGAAACTAAATCCTGGTGTCCTAAAAATCTTTTTGTTTTTAAATGGGGAAATGTATGCATTTTAAAACACCAATATTTCGGGTGTGTGCGAGAATTTTTTAAAACTTCCTTTTCACTCGTTGTGTGCAATATATTTAGATTGGAATTATAGATATTCTTACACTACATGCATTTTATCTTTTCAGCCTGGTCAGTTTGAGGCAGGTGAAAACATATGCTATTTTCAAAGATAATGAAACTTGTTTCTGAGTTTTTTGAAAAAAAAAAGCTCATATATAGTTTTTTTGACACCAAACTGGGCAATCACGAGAAGTGTTTATTGTATGCAAAACTTGAGGGATTCAATAACCAATTTATCGGGCTGTTATTTCGGCACTGTTAACGTCACAGAATTTAACCGAAGTAAATATGACAAAGGGTCTACCCCTGGTTTAACTCAGAAGACGTGTTTGACCGTCAAATTTTGTGTCGCTTCCTTCTAGTGAAGAAACCACAATCAACAGACAAAAGAATCTGATCAAATGGAATTTTTGATGAAAAGGGCAGTGCCGAATGTCGAGCATGAGCGCATACTCATATGGAGTCTTGAGTGGAACCTTGGAGTGATAGGGTGTGTGTTATTTAGGTCTGATAGCGAGCTGCGCTATATTCACATTGTTAGGTGTATTATATTCACATAGACATTAAAGTTATAGTTATTATGAAAAGGAGTTGAGTTTGCTCGATGATAGTGAGAATAGTACGACGCTTCAACGTATGAAAGAACTGACAAATGTAATCAATCCAAGAAGACGTTAGGAGTTGACATATAACTCAAGACGGTGCCTGGGGCGAAGTAAAAAAAAATACCACCCCTCATCTATAGAAAGTGACAAGTAAACACTGATTAGGTGCAAGGGACAAGAGCCCCATTTCAACAATCCCCTTCACATGACCCTGGTCCTCAGCGTGTGCCTCGAGACATGTCTTGAAACCTATACCTGGTACGGGTTTGATTTTGAATCAGCATTTGTATATATCTATAGCAATTAGGTCCCAAATTTTGCGTTGGTCAGAGTAACTGATGAAAAAAGCAGTCTTCAAATTTACTTAATAAATTTAGTTTAAACACCACATTATTTGTTTTACTTATAAAACAATAATTTAACTTCACCCCACTCTCCTTGAGCTGAAATTGTCAACAACAAAAAAAAAGAAAAAAAAATGAAGCTCAATTATTTTTACCCAAAACGCTCATAAACAAGTTAAAATTTACCAGGGGCTGAAAAACAACTGAATGATCTTCGAGCCCTTATTTTTTGAGGTCTAGTACATTCAGAGATGTTATCGTAGTCCATCTACCCAGTGCATTCAGAGATGTTATCGTAGTCCATCTACCCAGTGCATTCAGTGATGTTATCGTAGACCATATCCATACCGTACATTTAGAAATGTTATCTTAGGCCATCAATTCATTACATTCAGAGATATCATCATTGACCATCCATCCTCTTAATTCATAGATATATTCATAGGCCATCAATTCATTACATTCAGAGATATCATCATTGACCATCCATCCTCTTAATTCATAGATATATTCATAGGCCATCAATTCATTACATTCAGAGATATCATTATTGACCATCCATTCAGTACATTCAGAGATATCAGCGTAGGCCATCTATCCAGGACATTCAGAGATATCATCATAGGCAATTCATCCAGTACATTCAGAGATATCATCACAGGCCATCCATCCTCTTCATTCGGAGATATCTTTATAGGCCATCCATCCTCTTCATTCAGCGATATCTTAATAGGCCATCTATCCAGGACATTCAGAGGTGTCATCACCGACCACATCCTGAATTTTTATAATTTCTGATAAGTATTCCCATTTTTTTGTTTTAAAAAAAATCTTGCTCTGATAGGCACAACCTAATTCAGCAGTTCTAAAAACTTGTCACAAAGAGCAATACAAGTTTATACTACAGCTCTTCATTTACTCTTATCCTAGTTTAAAGACCTCTGCCCATCTGGGGATCGTCCGCTGGCGTGATTGCCGTGTTAGTGAAGCCAAGTCAAGCCATAAAAATGTCATACTCATTTTTTGCTTGAAAATTTTTTTCACATAAAGAATAATAAGTATATATAATAGAATGCTTGTAAAACTAACAAAAATAATTACTTATTCTAAATTTTTTATCAACTTGACCTGAACGCAGGCTCTAATACAGGGGCGTCATTTAAGTTTCCTTTTTTTTTTTTTAAAGTGGCGGGGGAATTAAAAACTTGTTTGCCTTTTAAAGGTGCTTATTGTTGGGGGGGCCACATAACAAACCAATTAAAAAAAAAACCTGTCAGTTTTGGGTGGTTTTAAGTTTTTTTTTTTTTTTTTTAAAGTGGCGGGGGAATTCAAAACTTGATTGCCTTGTAAAGGTGCTTATTGCTGGAGGCGCCACAGTACATACCAATTAAAAAAAAAACCTGTCAGTTTTGGGTGGTGGGGGTAGGGCATATGCCCCACCCAACCCTACCCAAATGACGCCGCTGCTCTGTTACATGAACGAAATAACTAGGACGATCATTGTATTAATCGTGTGAGGCATCGGAAATCGTCCTATTCAATACAAGTATCGGAATGCAATAAACAGAGAGGCAGTATTCGTTTGCCAAGACAGTGGCGTATAAGTAACTGTATGGAGTTTTTCTTTAAAAATGTAATCGAATACAGTTACCATGTTAGTGATCGACACATAAAGAAGAACGTCCTTTTTAACAATAATAAAATGAGAAAAAATTATAGATTCGTTAGCCACATAGCGCTTGTAAACCTCTACGATGTTTCAAAAAGCTTGTGTCATTCGGCTGTATGTGGCTCAAGTTTTATTCACTAAGTGAGGACACACCTAGAGACGCACAGAATGTCTAGTCTATGTAGGTTTTGCTGGCTATTGGTACACACCAAAAAATATGGCCAGCTATAACTTTTACCTTTTGACCTTTATTTTCGAAATCTTTCGTGGCAGAAAAAGAAGATTGTCCTTTCAAAACGGTCCCCGACAAGGACGTCAAGAACGGCACTGTCTGTAAAAGTTAAGTTGAGGACCTCTTCAGGAAAACGACCTACGTTTATTTGATTGGCTACTTGGCAGCATCTCTTGCGCACTATCTAAAACAGTAGAAATTTCAATTTAAACAAAAATAAAAAATAAAATCATAGCAAACATTTTTAAATGACACATAAAGTTGGCAATTTGTCGGAACTTGTGAACGCACTTGGCAACAATTTTACAAAAAGTTTTGTTTTTTGTGTTTTTGTAAGTTGCACAAGTTATGACGATGAAAAAAAAAAACCAGCTTTCAAAGGATGACAATAAGGTAAAAAAAAAAAAAAAAGTGTTTTGAAAATAGTTCAAAACACAATTACATCCCCTTTTAATGTTCAGATTTCACTTAATACTTCGGAAAGAAATCTCCTGAACTTTAAAAAAAAAAAGGTTTTCTTTTTAAAAATTTTACAAAAAGTTTTTTTTTTTGTGTTTTTGAAAGTTGAAAAAATTATAAAGAAGAAAAAAAAAAACCAGCTTTCAAAGGAAGACAAAAAGGTAAAAAAAAAAAAAAAAGTGTTTTGAAAATAGTTCAAATCACAATTACATCCCCTTGTAATGTGCAGATTGCACTCAATACTTCGGAAAGAAATCTCCAGAACTTTAAAAAAAAAAAGGTTTTCTTTTCTCCTCTGATTCTTGCACTTGTTTTTGGCTACGCTGTGATGGTCAATATGTGTACAAGCGATTTGGTTTGTTCGACAAAGCACTTGAGAATAAATGTCATAAAACTTAAGATTTATTTTAAAAAAAACAAATTAATTTCAACGCTTACAGAAACAAAGGTTTAAAAATTATATATGCGATGATTTGCTATGTATACTAATTCACATTGATAGCTTGATAGCGGAAGAGACTTCGCCTAATACTTGTAAGAAAATCTAAAAATCTTAAGGTAGTTTGAAGGATGAAGAAAGAAAATAGAAATAGTTTCAGAGAATGTAAACATACGTTCTTTTTTTCTTCAAATCTCACGTCTCTTACAACTTCGACTAGAAATAAAGATGCGAGTTTTCGATTCTGTATCCTTAAAATCCCATGTTTTCAAACGAATGACACAAAGCCAGTAGGATAACGCAGAGCAAATTTTTAAAAAAAATTTTGTTCTTAAATTATTTCTTTTGAGCTAGGGCTTTAAGGTCTTTTTAAAGTAACAGTTGAAAAATATTACGCCTGTATAGGAAAAAAACCACAACAAACATAGATTTTTGTGAATTTTGATGCCCATTTGATGCCCATTTGATGCCCATTTGATGCCCA